ACGCACTTTTCTCCACCGCTTGCTGCTCCTTTCTTTCAGGAATGCTATTGCTGAAAATAACATACTTCGTAGTTAATAGAGCAAAGTGTCTTAATTTTAGCAATGTGATATCCACACTCATTACAAGACTGTAGCTTAATGTTGACAGTTACAGAAAGAAATCTCATTTTTGTCCTAAGGCAGAATCTCCCTGGGAATGGGTCACTGCTGAGGACCTCTCGGAACAGTTCCTTGAGGTTGATGCCTAATCGGTACCAAACTGTATGTAGCATTAGCTCCACTTGGAAGTCACTGCTCCACAGGTATCACATCTCAGACTTCGAGCAAAAGTGGCCGTTCCCTTCCTTCTGAAACCGTCCGCATTTACACAATACCTGGCAGGTGACCTTCCGAACCCAGGGCTGTGTGCTTCCAGATAAGTTCCCTGTGTTGCCACTTTCTCCCGGGAGCCCAGTCTGAAGGTGGAGTTCTGGTTTCCCCCCGGACACTCAGGACAGTTGAACTCTTAGAGTGATAAACAGTGGAACGCAAAACAGCACACACACAACTGTTGTCAGCCTCTAGTCCATCTAAAAATATTTGGAGTGAGTAGGGGTTTATGTAGCTAGGAAAGGATGTGAAGGAAGGATGGCCTCTTCGGGCCAGCGTCTGTACCGCCGGAATTGGCTAGTACACACAGCGGATGCTACTGGTGACTGCCTCTTTGTACCTTTTTGACGGGTTGGAGGCAATGTCTTTCCTCTTAAACAGCTTAAGTGCATTTTATGATTTTGATAGGCCAAAGTTAACTCTTGCTAAAATATCTATATCTTGATTACTTGTTGGTAGCACAAATATATACTCTTCCACGCCTAGTAAGCAATTTTCTGTTACCAAAAACTCCTTAAGCCATCGTTTTAGAGGCTGTTATTCATCAGTACTAGTGAGTGCTCCTATAGGATGCACTCGACAGTCTGCACATACTGTTGCGATCTGCCACTGCCTCTTACAGCAGAGTAGGCCTGGCAGTCAGGCAGAAGACGCCGTGGTGAATCAAGTCCTGGAAAATGATATGCCCCACAGGAACGTAGCATTATGCCTTTACCCAGTTTTACCTCAAGCCCAGTTATACCAACAACTTATTTCTCCTTTCATCTGGGCTGTGCCATTCCGATACTTGTTCAGGGCCAGGTTCGGTTTTATGTTTTTATTTGCCTTTTTGGCTTGAGTGTGGGGAGTAATTGTGCAGTTTGAGGAAATCCTTCTGCTCCTAGTTCATCTTGAGTCCACATGTCCTTTAGAACTGGGTTTCTTTCTTCTCAAGTAAGTGCAAAGAAATGCAACCATGAGATCTGCTAATGTACAGAAGGGAGTAAAAGCATTTTTAGAAATATCTTCCCGCACCCTGGTCTGCTTTATAATAAATCAGCACAGTGCAGGAGTTAAGACATTGTTGAAATGCCCAAGTGTCTGTACCCTTTTATTGCATCCAGGGTGGTGAGGTCACGGGTTACTGTTTAGCTTCTATAGCTCAATGAAGAGATTCATTTCTTAATGCAATTCATCTCAGGAAGAGGACTCGGAAAAGTTTCAGGGGATGTGTGAGCCTCCTATGAAGAGATTTGGCAAATTATGATTTTCTTCCTGAAGTTTGAACTAATTTTTTAAAAACTCCAGGCAAGAAAGAAGAGAACCGCAGTGAACCCCTCTCAGGTTTCTGAATAGCACAGCGTTTGATTACTGAATGTCAGTAAGGCTACAGGATGGTTTAGTTCTTGGCTTTTTCTCCCTTTGGAATGATGGCAAAAATATGAACTAAGTATTAGTTTTACTAAAACTTCATTAGATATCTGTGTGTAGATGTGGAAAGAATATTCCATATATAATGAGACAATATACTTCTCATAAGATTTATTTTTATATGTAATTTTAAATTGTGATGTTTTGAATTTTGTCCCTGATTAAATCTTCTGAAAGGCAACATTTAGGTCCCTATGGCTGAAAAAGAGGTTTTCTCCTCTTGGTTAGGTAGCAATTCTTAATCACAGTCAGTCCTTTTACAAGTATGTGCAATTGGGCTGTCTTCTATTCCTTTATAAATTATTTATCCATGGCCCTCAGTTTGGGTAGCATTTACTTAGATTCCTCCCTTTCTTTCAGGTTGTCTTTGAATATGATTCTCATCTTGGTCTTTCATCCATGGCCAACTTTTGGTGACAATTCCTAGTTTCTGGAAAGTCGATTCAATGTAATAAACATTCATGAAATGCCTATTGTGTTTGAGAGACTGTGTTGGCCCCAGGACTACTGTTGGAGTGGTTTAGAAGGAGAGGGCAACGTCCACAATGCAAATCAGATTGGGACAACTCAGTGTAATAAAGAGGTAAACAAAGTTTTATATGTGCCCCAAGAAGGAAGCCATTTATTCAGCCTTGGAGTCCAGTAAGGCTTCCTAGAGGTGAGAACACTTAAATTAGTTAAAGGAAGCTGGGCGTGGTGGTGCACACCTGTAGTCCCAGTGCTCGGGAGGCAGAGGCAGGAGGACTGCTGCAGGTTTGAGGCCAGCTTGGGCTACATAATGAGTTCAAGGCCAGTCTGAACTACATAGTGAGACCCTGTCTCAAAAAAAATCTCAATAAATAAGTTAAAGGAGAAGCAAGAGTTTGAATAGATGAAGATGTAGGAAAATACAAAGTTCCAGAAGTGTAAAAGCCCATGACACTGTCTGGTAAAGGAGAGGAGCCTGACCAGACCAGAGATTCACTGTATGCGTGGAGAAAACAGCAGATGAGTTTTGAGGTGTAAGGTGATTTCAGTGCATGAGGGAAATTATGCTAAGAAAATTGGGGTTTACTCTAAAAGAAAACAGAAAGCTAGTAAAATCTTTTAAGTGGCGAGTGTAACCCAGGGTCATAGCTGTACTTTAGAAAAGGAGACTGAAAGGCAAAGGATGCCTTGGGGTAGAAAGAACACACGTGAAAGGGGCCTTGAGGCAGGTGACTGCAGTAATAACCCAGGAACAGCTGGTATAGTGAAGACAGTGGTGAGGAAAGCAGAGAGGAAGGAATAATCCTGAAGTCATCCTGAATGTAGAGCTGGATGTCGTAGGACTCACAGGAGACTTCCAAATGACTCTAAAGTTTCTCCTCCAGAGGCGTGGTAAGTGGAGAAACCATGAACTATGATGATAACTTGAAGAAAACAAAGTTGAAGAAGACAGTGAGTGGTAAAATGACATTTTAACAGGCTTTTCTGGGAGACACCATTTCTTTTTTTCAAAGGACAAGTTTGTTAGTCATTCTTTCTGGATTCCACCATGAGAATCATAGCCTATTTTGTTTATATTTAGGGCCCCGAAGCTGTCTTACTCCTCAAAGGAAGAGAAGAAAAGCTAGGTCTGCTCTCTCTGTCATTTCTGCATGCAGTTCTACCCTACCCCAATCTCAAGGTGCCTTGAGGTGTAACCTAAGCTTACTCAAAATACAGTCTTCCGTACCCTCCCCTCTGATTCTAGTCTGACGTCGAAGCCATGTGACATCCTTTTAATGCATATAGGATTCTCAGAGTCCCTCACAACTGGCCTTTTGAGAGCTAGATGTGGAGCCAAAATGGATGCTTGGATCATGTGTCTCCTATAGGTTAGGAAATGGCCAACCCTATCCCGGGGTGGAAACAGACACCAGCCCCCGAGGAAGTGATGGCTGCCCATGGGCGTTTGCAACCTTTGCTGCTTCCTTTCCTCCATGAGGAAGGAAACTGGACTTTCCTAGCACTTTTTCTTACTCTCCTAACACAGGGGAACTGAAGATTCTTGGCTTTTGGAGTTTGGATAGTGACTGTAAGGCTGGAGGGTTCTCCAGAAAGCAGATGGTCCCCGTCTCTGCACTGTCATTACTTTGTTCCTCCTCCCCCTTTCCTGTGCTGTACAGTTCAGTTCCACTCCAGAATTCAAGGGGACAGTGTCAGAAAGTCTTCAGGGAGAGCCCAGAGCTCAGTTCGTGCTCGGCTTCAGGGTGGAGATATCTCAGTAAATGAAGGTCCTGTGCCTTTGTGATTATCCCCTATGCAGGGAATATGCTTTATGCAAATATTCCCACTCTTTTCCAACTCATTTATTTGATTTGCACACCACATATCCAATGACAAGTCCTGTCCAAAGGTGGCAAGGATAACTGTTAATTCCAAGTATCTACTTCTCATTTGATAAAGCCATTTGGATGTTTGCAGTATGAATTTGGCTTACACCTAGAATTTCCCAAATCAAATATTTCAAAATCATGAGTAGTAAGTTCAGCTGTGAATCTCTGGAACATCCTGTGTAATAGGTGGATTGATTCAACTAGATTGTGCTCTGAAGGCATTGGCTGTTCTACAAAAGCAGTAGGACAAGTCATTAGATCATTTTAGTTCCTCTTTCCCACCCAAGAACATTGCGCTTACTTTTTAATTTTGTCCCCCAAGTCATGGCACAAACTCACTCTGCAGTTTCAATTCCTTTGATTATTGCAGCAGCAACAGTTAAGAGACAACCAATCCTCAAAAGAGAACGTAAATATTCTGATCCTGTCCCACTGATTGCAACCAAAAAGCATATATAAATCATTGGTGGAGCACTCTGCACATTGGTGACTGTTGTGTGGCACAAAATGGAGAAACAAGCCCATGAGGAGCTTGCTGTGGACATATCTGGGTGAAGGAGAAAGGGTTGGGGCTGGAAGGAAGACTGTAATCACACTGCAGGGCTCTGGTCCCTGTCCCTGAAAGCCCAAGTCTAGGGGGAAGGCGCAGGAGAAAACTCCATCTTCAGCCCCTTCTCATTTAGAGACTTACTCTAAGGTGGAGAGGGCAGGGGGAAGTGGGGAAATGGGCCGCAACACTGGTTTATTTACAGCAAGCTGACTTTCATGGTCCACAGGGGTGACTTTGAGGGTTGTAATGCAAAGGGCCACTTATTTACTTATTTTTAATGTTTGGTTATAAGCAACTGGGAAGGCAAATTCCTCTTATTTTGTGTCTTGTAGGTCCTCACCGTGTTCCCTCCAAGGGTAGTAGGTGACTGCTGGGGTCCTGCCCTCCTAGATCCAGGGTTCTGCAGACACCGCTGTCACACTTGTAAGTGGAGAGCTGAATCCTCTGCCTGACACGTTTCCCTTGTCAAGTTGTCCCTGTCCCACCCCACCGACATCGATCGTCCTGGGAACTGCTTCTGAAGAAACCCTGCGCAGCACTTCGAGATGTGAGTGCACTTTTTCGAAGGGCAGCTTGGGCTAAAACTTGACCTTTTGGAGCTTTGAGAGGTGGGAAGGAGAGCAGAAGGTAGCTGGGAGAGAGGGATTTCCTGGTTGTTGCTAGAGGGAGTCTGTTTACTTGGCTTCAAGGGTCATGGCCATCTGAATGGGCTTCTCAGGCCCTACTCTTGGATTTGGTTTCAGAAGCCCTGGTGCTGTGGAATTCTGCTCCCCGTGGGCCTCCCCTTCCCATTAGGTGTGGGACACGCACACCACAGTAGGGTCCAAACCTTCCGAGGAGCGCTGGCGCTTGCTTGCAGGAACGGCTGCTTTAAGTGGGGTTTACTGTTGCTGTATAAACCTTCCTTTAAAATTGACTAGAAAATGTTTCTGAACCTGCCGAACACACATTAAAATATTTTGCTCCATTTATGCCCATGTGTAGCATTTGGTTTCGAAAGAGCTTTAATCAGTAATCTTCAAGTAGGAAGTTATTCATCTTTATTGCCAGTCGGTTCTCAGTGGTGGTCGTGGCAACAATCTTTTTATGGCTTCTGTGTTTAGTTGTTCTTTGACATGATAGAAGTCAGCTGCAGTTCAATGAGCTTACTATTTGTGCAACTTAATTGCTTGCTTCCTTCAATACATACTCAATTTTTCTTTTTATGAGCGGGGCTGTTGGAAAAATTAAGCTTAAGGATATAGCCATCCACTGTTAATTAACCTCCTTCCCAAACACATTAGTAAAATAGGTCAAATAACTGCTGAATGGTAAGTGGACTGTTACCAAGGTCCTTCTCGGCTGAGAAGTGAGTTCTGAGTAAGCGAACAAGTTCTGGAGCCTTGAGCATCTTCTGGAAGCAGGGGTGACACAGAATAATGCTTTCTCCCAGCAGTCCTCCCACCCCTGCACCATGCTCTCCGGCTGCAGAATGTGCTGTTCGATTTCATCTGGCTCTGCTGTGGCTTTAGCTTGTTTCATTCTGTGAATAGGAGAGGGAATAAAGATTGCTCTGCTTTCCGCTACTGCTTGTTTTAAGGGGGGATTCTGCTTTTTGTTTTCAATAGGGACTGGTGCTGCTATTTTGATTCAAAAGTCCTAGCATGATCTAAATATTGTGAGGACGCATAAATGCTGATAATGAACTTAAAATGTTCTCATGGAGGCACCTAACCTATCTGAATAGATGTATATAGAGCTCTTATAACTCCCCCGCCCTGGGTTGTATTCAGGTGGAAAATCACTTTAATTACAGCGAAGGGCTGATTGGAACTTTGCCAACCTGAAAAAATATTTTGATGTTTACTGAGTTTTTATATACATAAAAAGAAAATGTGACAGTTTATGAATTGGTAGAAGGCTAGAAAATGTCAGGATCTAGTTTATACTTTTTGGAAGGGGAAAGTAAATGCAAACAAAATGAACAATGAGATACTAAATGGAGTGATCTCTATCCTTTATCTGCAGTTTATACATCTGGCCTTTAATTGAGAGGGAGTGAGGAGAAAAAGGAAATCACATTAACCCCTATCTATTTGTAAAACCAAAATATAAAGCTTATTTTTTTACAAAAAATATTACTCATTCATAACATAAATCTTACCAGTGTTTAGTAGCAGATCTGCATTTTTGAAAAGATCTGTTCTGATACATTTTATCAAATACTGGAGTGTCCCGCATTTTTGACAGGTTTTTGTGTTTCATGACTTGGGCACATTTTCTGCTTTGCACTTTCCATCAACGTGATGCCTCTTGCAGCACCTTTTTTCTAATGTCAGGATAGATGGTCGGTGACACAGAATTACTGTTGAATCGGTGAGCCTTGGTTTGCCTATCTTGGTAATGAGGGGTAATGACTCTTGCAGCTTTTGGCTTGGGGGGCTTGTTAGGAAACTTAGTGAGCTAATGCCAGAAGCCTTGAGACAGGAAGGTTCTTTTTTTTTTTTTTTTTCCCTCCTTGTGTTAATATTATTTTGTGTCACAATGAAGCTGGCTGGAATGGTCTTGTTCATGTCTGTGAGTTGTGAGACCTAAAGGTTATCTCTTCTCTCTTACCTTGTGTGGGCTACGGCCTGAGATGTAAATGGTGGATTGTTGACACGTGGAAAATAGTTGAACCATTGGAAAGGTTAAGTATGGCGCATTCCTGTAGGCCTTTTGTGTTAATATTATTTTGTGTCACAATGAAGCTGGCTGGAATGGTCTTGTTCATGTCTGTGAGTTGTGAGACCTAAAGGTTATCTCTTCTCTCTTACCTTGTGTGGGCTACGGCCTGAGATGTAAATGGTGGATTGTTGACACGTGGAAAATAGTTGAACCATTGGAAAGGTTAAGTATGGCGCATTCCTGTAGGCCTTGAGTACTCTGGTGCCTGTCACTTGTGCGACTGGCCCCAGGCTCCAGGCTGGAGGAAGCACTGTAACTTTTGGTGAGGAAGGAACAATTAAGAGTCAAAGGCAGAGGACTGAGCTGTAAAGTTTTGTTCCTATCTAGCCAATTATGATGGTGAATTTCATGTCTTTTCTGAGTTGAAGATACATATCCAAGAAGGGGAAAAAATGCAGAAGTCTAGGATTGACAGGTATGAGGAAATAGAGAATTTGGGAAACTTCTTGAGATATTTAGTCTTGCCAATCTGCAAGAAGGAAATTTGCAAATATTAAGTTTAACTTGTTTCATATTTTCTTTAAGATAACCAGCCTTTGCTTCAGAATATATTGGGTCATGGTAAGCTGTTGGAAGCAATGTCTTGCTCGTCTCATGGATTCTTCTACCCTTTTTAAAGGGTGTGTCCCTGTTGCTTTTTTAGTGGTCATCAGTCAACTTTAATTAAACAAATCCGGGAGAGAGGAGCTGGGAGCCATGACAGTGCTCCTTACAACCAGCAGGTGGCACTGTGGATACTACAGTGGCAAAGAAATGGACGCAGGAGACGGGAAAGACAGAATAATGGGGTACTCTGAGGTACTCTGGAGATCTCAGGGAGGTTAGCGAGCATCTCAGAGAGTTACGGAGCAGTCCCTAGGGGTGGAAGGCTGTCATACATCTGCTTTATAAGCACATTTTCTCTGAATTTTAGTTTTCTTTTTAGCCACATCAATTGTTATCTGCTTAAAGTCTATGTACTGTATATGCTATTGCCCAGGGCTTGAAAACAAACTTGAAGGGAGGATTTTTAGGGACTTTTAGAAATCAACATTTACTCATTTTAAAACCATATCATGTAAATAAGAAACTTCAGCTCAGCGTATATGTAACGTAAAATTATATTTCATGCTCCCAGAAAATTGTGCCACTTGGAGAAACAGGTTAGCTGTATTTGTTTAGTTATATCAAAAAAGACAGGGCCAGGGATTTAGCTCAGTGGTTTCACTGCCTGCCTTGCAAGCTCAAGGACCAGAGTTCGATCCTTGGTACAAAAAAAAAAAAAAAGATAGATACGGGATTTTTCCATCTCCAGGAACCTCTGCATTCTCAGTCATCTATGGATCTCTTCTTTTTAAAAAATTACTTCAAATAGACTTCTGTGCATCTGATTTTAGAAGACACTTTTTGAATAGGTAAATTGGGGCTTCAGATGTTCTAGGAGGTAATCAAATTGAATTAAAAAAATACAATGATCATTTACTTGCTAAGAGGACAGAAATTTTCAAACTTTTGGGCTTCTTTTGTGAGGGTTGGCACTTATTTTTTCCCTGAAACATCAGAAACAAACTTCTTTAGTATCTTTAGCAGAGGGGGTTCCTGAGGAGGAAATGTAATTTCTCACAATAACTGGTTCCTAAACAGGGCCCTCTTGGGAACATTGACATTTCTATCAGAAATGTGGAGATCTCTCCTGAATTTCTGGGGCAGGTGTATGAACGAATTTTTCTATCTGCTTCCTGAGGTAGAAAGCAGCCTAACTGGGTTCCAGTGGTGATAGAGCCCATGTTTTCAGGGGAAAGCTGAAAGGATTTGTGAGCATGTGGGTGACTCCTCCAGAAGCCGGTAATTGATCATATCTACACGACCAGGAACTAGGGTTGGAGTTGGGAAGATAACAAAACTAGGGTTAGGACAACATGGCAGAAATCAGGATCCGAAAGTGACAGGTCTCAGGGGCTGGTTGTAACGGTTTCACACTCTTGTCAGAGTGAGAGTCCAGAACCTTCTGTGTCCCTGTGGGCCTCTCTGACAGGAGGAGAGGCAGGCAGCAGGCTGAGCTGGTGAGGGAGGATGCCATGAGTGGTCTCTCCACGTGACTGGAAAGTCTGACCAACTGGGGAACCTGGGAATGGAAACCAGTTTACTATATATTCAGAAACAAGGATATTTCTGATTCACCAGGGCAGGCTCCTCTCTTATTTCTTGGAACAAATTCCCCTCTTCTGAGCCTGGAGCCTGGGCAATGCTTGAGCAGTAAAGAGGAGCGTAAGTTTCCTGTCACTTCCTCTTTGGCAGGTTGTGTCTGCAGACACTGGCTCTCATACCCCATAATTACTTTTTCACATTTTTTAATATAGTAACACATGGTTGGGCTTGTGGTGGGGGAACCAAGTGATGCCTCCAGGCTATGGACACTATAAATAACTTCAGGGATCATTTTATATGGTTAGGGAAGGAAGCAGCTTCTTTCTTAAGAAATAGCTCCAAGGAAGGAAGCAAGACTTGGGAACAAATAACTTCTATTTTGAAGAGGCCCTTTGCCTTTTCTATTTCTCCCAGGCCAGAGATGTTACTGGTATTAATTTGTTTCCTCACCAGCTTGTCTTACCTGACTTTTTATGGTTATATTCTATGGTTACTATAGCCATCTTGTTATATAGAGGAAAAAAATACGCATTTTTGCTTAGGAAGGTGAAACTTTCAGCTCTCACCTGCATTCTCCAGGGCTAGATTCTGACCAGGAGCTCCCAGTTGAATGATGTTGGAAGGAGCTTCAATAAGCAATCTGAAAACAATTCCCCATTCCTCAGGCAAGATTTTAAAACCATCCCAATCTTAAAGCTTCCTGGAAAT